CTGTTTCAAAGAAGAGAATAAAATACTAGGTCTTTTTCCTAATATTTTTTAAAGTTATCATTCTTACAGGGAGCGATGATATGCAATGTTTTGCAGGAATAACTTCATTCTCAAAAAGGTTCTTAGAAACAATGAGTATTAAGCAATACCGCAACGACAGACGTCAGATATCAGGCTGTAAAGCACTAGCAGTAGCCAACTTCGTCTTGTCTGTAATCACTGTTCTGCAGTTGTGACTTCGCGCTTGACGGATTGTTTCGTGAATATCGAGCACACAATTTGTGCCTAAATCAAAAGTAGTTACAAAATAGTAGTACATAAAACTTGGTGACAAGCACTTGCAAATCGCAGAAAAGTTGGGTGATCAGTAGGTTAGAATTACAAGCTTTGGAGGCAATTTCTGGAGCTGAATGCCATTCCATGCCTAATCTCTCATAATTCGCTAGCACATATGTGGGTCTATCGATTCCTTGTCCATCTCATCTTTCTGCAGTGATGAGACAATTCCGAAGTTTCTGGTGCAGATCTGTCTAGTGACATTAAAGCATGCATAGGCCCCAGTCTCAACAATGGCTTTGATGTGAAGCGCTTCTCGGTTTGTGCGTAATTCCGCCTGCGGCTCTGTAGTGCGGTTTATTGGTTGGGGCAGAGCTAAACTTGTTCTCGATACAGCTTGTGAACATTAGAAAAATTTGTCGGCTTCTTGGTTGCCTGCAAAAGAGAACTCGGCCAGGTAGATTAACGTCATCAGTAATGTGACGTATAGGTTGTTTATTTATGGCGGTGTCCATTTCGCGGTAGCTGCTGCTTCGTGCTTTGATTCGTGCTGTTTTGTTAGCTTTTGTGCAGTTACTATATTGACAGATCCTTGCTGTAGATTTTTATCACCAGGGTGCTGTCACCGCAAGCGAAGGACGCGACGGTGAGACAAGGTGATCAGGCTAGCTTAGGGCAATGTTGCCTAAAGGCCAGGCGGAAGTTGTCACATGCATAGACCGTTGTCTACTAACAGAAAAATTAGTCGTGTTTTTCTAACTTAATGTTAAACGACAGACGGCTTGAGTGAATCTGCAGTTTGGAGTTATGGCTCGGTTTTAGCTCTTACTAGCGTTTTTCTGACTGTTGTTGTTGCGATCATTGCGTATCAGTCAGCTTAATTGTTGCTAACGCGTAATGGTGTCGTATTTCTGATAATAAATGGTTAAATCACCCAAGATTGAGGTCACCAAAAACCAGAGAACCATTGAAGCACCAGAGAAACACATATTCCATTGTTTTTACAGTTGCTGAAGGTTCTCATTGAAGACTGGAATCTTTAAAGAGTAGAGATGGTTCATGGGGCGGATAATAATTCTGCCATCAAACGTCTAGGTCTTTGCTGTTCTTATGTAGTTATCTTAACTAAGAGGTACTTCAACTATCTTCCCTATTTTCCAACGAGCCCTAGGCAAATTCTCATCATGAAGTGAGACTACTTCGCTTATTTTAGATGGTTCTTTTTTGTTGCGTTTGGTCTGGTTATGAACTGCTTGATTTTTGCTTGTTAAGTCACAGATATAGTCGTGCTGCCACACGTTCCATAGTTTTTTAAGGCACTGTTGTAACATCAAACCTTTTTTATTAATTGTTGATTATTCTACTCATCTGTGTCGCACTCTAGACCTTCAATTTGTCTCCTAGGAACTGCTACAATCATGAATTCTATAGGCTGTAAGATTTCATTACAGTCATCTTCAGCTTGCGTTACTGGCCTGGTGTTTCTTAGCTATACGATACTTCATCTTGAGGACTTAGAAGACAAGCTCCGCAGCCGATCCGGGGGAGTGTTGCCGAAAGGCGAAGAAAAATAAGATAAAGCAGTTCCAAGCATCCCGAGAGTAGAAAATGACAATATCAGGACGATAAGGGGCATATGAAAGGTGAGCGCTCGTCAGCTTCGGGATCAAAAAGCAAAAATGTAATCAGAAAGAAAAGAAGCAGCCGGAGCGGAATATATAAAATATCGAATGGAAGGAGACCAGGAGGAATAGACTAATCCATTTCGCCGAACCACGTCGCCATTTATGATAGCTCTTTTTTGTGATCTTAGCCTCCTTTTCCCTTGTACTTGTATAATTTGAGATGATGAGTTGGCGAAGGTGAGAGATTGACCGCTGCGGGTTTTGTCGTTTTGCTCTGCACACTTGCTTTAAGGTCCCAAAGGACAGCTTCGCCTCGATTGCTGCCACGATATTGGGATGATTTATATTGTCCCCGGAGCTGTTAGTTGGCG